CAATTAACACACTTCAACAAACAGATGCTGCCCTAGATGTGCTCACCAGGTTGTTCCAAGAAATCTGGAGGACAACTACCTGGCCAACTGACTGGAAGAGATTTATATTTATTCTCATTAAAAGAAAAAAGATGACACAATAGTTTGTGGATATTATCAAACAATATCACTAATACAACACACTAGCAAAATCCTGCTGAAACTACTGGAATGATACATCAACAGAGAACTACCAGAAATGTAAGCTGGGTTTGGGAGAGGTTGTGACACTAGAGACATTATTACCGGTGTCAGATGGATCTTGGCTGAAAGCAAAGTATACCAGAAGAATGTGTTCATTGACTATGGAAAGGCATTTAACTGTGTTGATCACAACAAATTGTGGCTAGCCTTGAGGAGAATGGGAATCCAGGAACACTCAATTGTGCTCATTGGAAAACTATACTCAGACCAGGAGCAGTCCTCAGAACAGAGCAAGGAAGCCCTGCATGGTTCAAAATCAGGAGAGGAGGGCACTCGGGATGTAGCCCATCTCTTCACTTTTTCAGTCTACATACAGAATCATTCATGAGGCTGGGCATTATGAGGATGAATGTGGCATCAGGATTGGAGGAAGACCCACCAACAACCTGTGTTATGCAGATGACACAACCTTCCTTGCTGAAACTGAAGAGGACCTGAAGCATTTGCTTCAGAAAGTCAAGGACTGTTATCTTCAATATGGATTGAAGCTCAACATCAAGAAGACAAATATTCTCACCACTGGGCCAATTGGCAGCACCATGATAGATGAATAAGAGATTGAGGTTGTTAACAACTTCAGCTTGCTTGGCTCCACAATCAACACTCTTAGCATCAGCAGTCAGGATATCAAAAGATTAATTACACTGGGAAAATCTGCTTCAGAGACCTCCCCAGAGTCTGTGAGGCAACGATGTCAGTCTAGAGACTAAAGTGTGCCCATTTCAGGCCGTGGTCTTTGTAATTACTTGCTGTGCTTCAGAAAGCTGGACAATGACTAAGGATGACAGAAAAAGAATCGATGCCTTTGAGTTGTGGTGCTGCAGAAGAGTCTTGAACATACCATGGACCGTCAAGGGGACAAACAGGTCTGTCTTGGAGAAAGTAAAACCAAGTTTCTCCTTGAAGGCTAGGATTTTAAAGCTCTGTCTTTTATACTTTGGGCACATGGCCAGGAGGAAACAGTCCTTGGAGAAGGTCATCATGCTCCAAAGGGTGGAGGGACAGCACAGGAAAGGAAGACCCCAAATGAGACAGATTGACACAGTAACTGGGTTAATAGAGGGTAGGTGTATCAGAGTCAGTGAGACTGGCTCAGGAGAGGGCACGTTTCAGAGCTCTTGTACAAAGGGTTCCTAGGAGTCACAAGTGACTAAACAACTCATAACAACAACAACAACAATGTCAAAAGAGACTCTGAAACTTGCACTGGAATGTAGAAAGATCAAGGAAAAGAGCTAAGCAGAAAATGTCAAAGGACAGCTTGAGAAGACAAAGCATAATATTATGATGAAATATGCAAAGAGCTGCTGTTAGAAAACTGAAAGGGAAGAATTCACTTTGCATTTGTCAACTGAAAGAATGGAAGAAAAAAGTGTCAAGTCTCATTACTGAGGGATTCTATGGGCAAAATCTTGATGATGCAGGAAGCATCAAAAGAAAATGATAAGAATGTACAGCCACTGTAACAAAAAGAATTGGTCAACACTGAACCATTTCGATAAGTAGCATATAATCAAGAATCAATTGTAAAGAAAGCAGTTAAAGCTTCACTGAAGGCACTGACAAAAAATAAGGCCTAGGAATTAGAGGAGTAATAATTGACATGTTTCAACAAACAGATGCAGACCTCGACGTTCTTACCAGTTTATTCCAAGAAATCTGGAAGATGACTAGCTGGTCAACTGACTAGAAGTGATTCATGTTTGTTCCCATTCCAAAAGGAGATTATCCAATAGAATGTAGACATTACCAAACAATATCATTAATATCACATACAAGTAAAATCTTAGTGAAGATTATTAAAAAACAGTACATTAACAAGAAACTTCCAGAAATTCAAGCTGGATTCAGAAGAAGCTGTGGCATGAGTGATATCATTGCTGACATTGGTTGTATCGTGACTGAAAGTAGAGAATATCAGAAAGATGCTTACTTGTGTTTTATTGGCTATGCAAAGATTTTTTTTAACAGTGTGGATCATAACAAATTTTGGCTAACATTGAAAAGAATTGGAATTCAAGAACTTAATTGTGCTCATGCAAAACCAATTCATAGATTAAGAAGCAGTTGTCTGAACAAAGCAGGAGAACACTGCAAGGTTTAAAATCAGGAAGGTGTGTGGTGTCAGGGTTGTATCTTTTCTCCATATCTATTCAATCGCTTTGCTGAGTAAATCATTCAAAAAACTAGACTAAATGATGAATAATGTAGCATTTGGATTGAAGGGGGGAAACTTCATCAGTGCTCTGTGTTAATGCAGTTGACACAACCTTGCTTGAAAGAAGTGAAGAAGACTTGAAACATATGCTACTAGAAGACCAAAGACTCCAATCTTCAATACAGATTGCATCTTAACACAAAGAAAACACAAGCCCTCACCACTGGGCCAATTAGCAATATGGTAGATAGAAAAAAGAAGTTATTTTACTTGTATCCCCAATCAATACCATGGCAGGAGCAGTCAAGAAGTTAAAACATGTATTGACTGAGAAAAATATTCTCCCAAGGTCCTCTTTAAAGTGCTAATAATAAACGATGTCAATTTAAAGGACTAAGGTGTGCTTGATTCAAACCAGGGTATTTTCACTTGCTTCCTATGCATCTGAAAGTTGTACAGTGAGTAATGATGACCAAAGGAGAATTGATGCCTTTGAATTGTTGTGTTGGAGAAGAACTTGAATAGCCCAAGACTGTCAAAAAGAACAAATAAGTCTCTATTGGAAGAAGAGCAATCAGGTTGCTCCTTAGATGCAAGGATGGTGAAACTTTTCACATACTTTGGATGTTATCCTTGTTGTTGCTGTTAGGTGCCATCAGTCGAGTCTGACTCAACTGTGAACAACAGATCTGAACCCTGCCCTATTCTGTGCCTCCTATTATCTCTGATACACTTGAACCCACCGCTGCAAAAGGGGCCAATATTTGGAAAAAGACATCATGCTGAAACAGGTGGAGGGTCTGAGAAAAGGGTGAAAACCCTACACAAATTGGATTGAGAACAATGGGCTTGAACAAGGTAGAGATTATGCAGGTGGTACACAGGAGCACTAGGTGGCTGTTGGGCTGCCGATCAGATGGTCTGCAGTTCAAGCTGTTCCTTGGGAAGAAGATGAGTGACTTTCTCTGATAAAAGTTTACAGCCCCAGACACCCAAGGTGATTATCGTTGTCATGTGTCATTAAGTCAGAATCACCTCACAGCTGACCCTTCAGTGGATTTTTTAGGGACTACAAATTGCATTCAAGAGCTTTCCCATCTTCTGCAGAACAGCTGGTGGATTTGAACCTGCCTTTGGGTTGGCAGCACCAACTCTTTACCACTAGGCCACTCGAAACCCAAAGGTGGTGTGTTTTTCTTAGTTGCCATTGAATCGACTATGACTCATAGTTACCGCCTGAACAATAGATCTGAACCTTGCCCAGTCTCGAACCATCCGCCTGTTTCTGTCATGCTCAAGCCCATGGTGGTGGTCACTCCATCTATTGGGTCTTCCTCTCTTTCACTGACCCTCTTCCTTTCCTAGCATGATGTCTTCCTCCAAGGACGTGTTCCTCCTCAAAATATGCCCCTAGTGAGTGAGACAGAGTTTTATCATCCTTGCCTCCACAGAGCACTCTGGTTGCTCTTCCTTCAGGACAGATTTATTTGTTCTTTTGGCAGTTGATGATCTAGTCAGTACACTTCTTCAGCACCATAATTCAAAGTTGCAATTAGAATTAAGTTGACAGAAGAAGTGAATTTGGTTTGAGTGTGGTATACAGAGCCCTTGGTTGCATAGTGGGTAGTGTTTAGCTCTTCTCGGCAAGATTTGAAGTTTGAGTTCACACAGTGGCTCCTTGGAAGAAAGTCCTGGCAATCTACTTTCAAAAATCCAGCTACTGAATATCCTACTCTGACACATTGTGTTCATGAGTTGGGGTTGACTTAGGGCAACTGCATGGATTGTCTTACTTTAGATTTAAATTACAAAGCATTTGACATACCTACAATAAATAGATTTAAAAGGAACTATAAAAGGTCAGTGAGCGCCTGTGTCCATGGAGAGAGGCTGAGGGCTGGGAGATGTGGCCCGAGGCACCCTGGGCCCCCCCGAAGATGTCTGCTTCCTTAGTGTGAGGCACTGTCCACGCTGTCAGCAAGAGGGAGTTCACCCCAATCGGGCTGCCCTAACCCTGACACCTTCCGCAGTACTCAAGATAAAACAACATCTTAAAGATAAGCCTGAACATGTAGATGTGAAAGTCAGTGTTCAAACCAGGGGTTACAACGGCCTTTCTTGAGTTTTAGAATATGCAAAAAACAAAAGAAGATTCTGATAAAGAAGTTGTTCAAGAGGGAGTCAGAGTGTTCATTGAAAAGAAAGCACAGCTCACACTTTCAGAAACGGAAATGGACTATGTAGAAGACAAATTATCCAATGAGTTTGTGTTCAATAACCCAAACATCAAAGGAATGTGTGGCCGTAGAGAAAGCTTTAACATCTGAATTCTGAGGACCCCTCATGCTGCCATGAGCTGCAGTGATTGCCGCAGAAATCTTGGGCCTACTGAAAAAATTGTGTGACTCGTGTTGTTTGATTCAGAATGTATTTCTGTCTTCTGAAAAAAAGAAAGGAAAAATGTGAAAAGCACCCCGCCCCTCCAAAAAGGAGCTATAAAACAGAGCTCTATTAGTTGTAGTAGTGACAATAGTATTAGGATGTTAAATTCTCTAGTTTACATTAAAACAATCTGGTATCTGGTTCTTCTTTGTTTTTTCTATAATGATTCAGAAAGCAGAAGATTGTACTGTACCTTGGAATGCAGCGTGGGTAGTTTAGATGTCGTAGGTGCTTTATTCTCCCTGACAAGAATGGCACTCTTAGAATTTCTGTTTGTGGTGTCCTCATAATCACTCATATGCCAGGCCATAGAGCCACGACTACCTTTTCCTTGCTTATCCATTATGTGAGGTTTTGGTTGCCTGAAATAGAAACATATTGGTCAATTCTCAAATTGTAAATACCTAGAAAAAAGGGCCAGTTTTCAGAGAGTTGTTTCATTTTCAATTCAAGCAGTTTCTAGGCCAGTGATTAGGGAAAACCAAGACCCTGGCCCACCAGCCAGTGTCCTGAGAAGATTCTAGTCTCTCTCCAGGCAGCTTTCCGATGTCTAGCTGTCGGGAGTGCAGAGAAATATCTCTTCAGACTGGACCCCTAGTTAGTAACATTGTTTCCAAGTAAAGCTGCTATTGTTGTTCTGTACCTTCCAGTAACTCATAGCCACCCCATGTACAACAGCCCTAAACCCTGCTCTATCCTGTGCCAATCGCACTGTCTCTGACACACCTACCTCCATGACCTCAGTCACTGAATCAATCCACCTCATAGAGGGTCTTCTCATGCGTTGTCTCTCCACTCTCCCAAGCATGACATCCTTCTCCAAGGACATGTCTAAAGTACGTCAAATGAAGCTTCAGAATCTTTGCCTCCAAGGAGCAGCTTGATTTAACTCTCTCCAGGATGAACCTGTTTGTTTTCTTAGCAGTCCATGGTACATTCAATACTCTTCTCCAACACCACAGCTCAAAGCTATCAATTCTCCTTCTATCCTCCCTGGTCATTGTCCAACTCTCCGATGCATAGCAAGTGATTGCAAAGACCATGACCTGTATCAGGTACACCTTAGTCTCCAGAGTGACACCATTGCCCTTCAGTACTTTGGAGAGGTCCTTAACAGCAAACTTTCCCATTGCAGTATGTCTCTTAACTTCCTGGATGCTGGTGCCAAGAGTATTGACTGTGGAGCCAAGCAAACTAAAGCTGTTAATAATCTCAGTCTCTGCACCATCCATCATGATGCTGCCAATTGGCCCAGTGGTGAGAAACTTTGTCTTCTTGATATTGAGCCTCAATCCATATTGAAGGCTACAGTCCTTCACCTGAAGCAAGTGCTTTAGGTCCTCTTCAGTTTCAGCAAGCAGGGTTGTGTCATCTGTAAAACGCAGTTTCTTCCACCAATCCTGATGCCACACTTCTCATACAGCTCAGTCTTCCAGATAACCTGTTTTGCATATAGGTTAAAAAGGTATGGAGATAGGACACACCCCTGTTGTACACCCTTCCCAATTTTGAACCATGCAGTGTTTCCTTGCTCTGTTCTGATGACTGCCTCCTGGTCCAAGTATAGGTTTTGTATTAGCACAATCAAGAGTTCTGGGATTCCCATTCTTCTCAGAGTCAGCCACAGTTTGTTATGATCCACACAGTCAAATGCCTTTTCATAATCAATAAAACATAAGTAGACATTCCTCTGGTACTCTCTGCTTTCAGCCAAGATCCATCTAACATTAGCTACAATATCCCTAGTACCACAACCCCTTCAAAACCCAGCCTGCACTTCTGGCAGTTCTTTGTTGATATGCTGTTCTAGTCGTTTTTGGATAATCTTCAGCAGAATCTTGTTTGCATGTGATACCAATGATATTTTACAATAATTAACACACTGTGTTGGGTCACCTTTTTTTTGAATGGGAACAAATATAGGTATCTTCCAGTTACCCAAGCGGTTGTTCTTCAGATTTCTTGGCACAACTTGGTGAGCACATCCAGGGCAGCATCTGTTAGTTGAAATACATCAATTGGTTTACCATCAATTATTGGGGCCTTATTTCTTGCCAATTCCTTCAAAGCGGCTTGAACTTCTTCCTTCATCACCACAGGCTCTTGCTCATATGTTGTTCCATGAAATTCTTCTGTGTCTGCTAATTTCTTTCAATTCAGTGACTCTGTATATTCTTTCCATCTTCTTTTAATACTTCCTGGATCACTTATTATTCTGCTCCAAGCATTCTTAAGTATAGCAACTCGAGGTTTGAATTTTTTTCTTCAGTTTCTTGAGCTTAAGAAATACTGAATGAAGAAAGCTGCTAGGGATGCCATTAATCATGTACCTTGAGGAAGTAAGGGGAGTGTTCATCTAGGGAACTAGAGGGTAGAAGAAAAATTCAAAGGAACCTGCTAACACATACTCCATACATTCTGGTATATGCACACCTACTTAGACACATCTCTAAGCATTTGTTAAAATATAAATTTATGCAATCCCAAAAGGTACGTGGTTCGAATCCACCAGATGCTCTGCTGGAGAAGGACAATCTCCTCCTGTACCAGTCAGATCTGATTTAACAGTACACACACAGAAAATAATAAAATTTTAAAAGTTTAAAAAAAAGAAAAATTTATGAGGAACAGAAAGAGTCTAGGGTTAAGTGGGTATTGTCTTAACATTTAAAAAATATGATCTTAGATAGCCAAAACTAAAGAGTGTTTCAAAAGACAAAAGAATGGGTGAAATAAAATTTTCACACATGTGCAGCAATATGAACCTGACCAAACAGTGACCTCAAATAGTGGCTCAAAGATGGGAGCAAGACTCAGACTCAGAGGCCACAGTAGTGTAGGCATGTATCTATGTCCTATAATGAGTCTTCCCACCACTTCCCTAACTTTTGGCACCAGAGGTCGTCCTGAAGTTTTGCTGGACACACAGAGCAGGAACGGAAATCACAATCATCTGACTCAATCAGTACAAGCAGCACAACTCCCTTTTACTTCTGCAAAAGACCCTTCCCTAAAAGAAAAACCCTAGAACAACTCTGCGCTTTTGGTGCTTGAAGAGACACAGAGCTTTCTTATTCTAATCATTCTGCTCTGGTTGCAGGTTGCATAGTCCATGGGGAGTGAAGCTGCTAATCCAAAACTGCACCCATTGTGGTGGTTAGACTCCACCGCAGCTGAGTGGGGAATTCCTTCCACGTGATTTACAGCCTCTGAAACCCCATTGGAGGATCAGCTATGAATTGATTCCAAGTGGTCAGCAGTGAGTGAGTGAAAAAAATCTATTCTTCTCTATTAACTTAGTTGTTTGACTTTCTAGTCATTATTTAGACACAGCACCCAGCACCAATATTAAATCCAAGCATCCATGAAATTTATTTGTTCTGGCAGTCATAGCTTGTCCATTTTGAAGTCCCACAGGCACTTAGGAAAATATCAGTTTGTGATTCCAGGCTTGGGCTTTGGACAACGTGTTAGAAGAAAAGATCTAGGCATCCTCCTCTTTCCTCAGTAAATTCCTTGGCGAGGTTCCAACAGCAGCACATTAGAGCACCATCTGAGCCCTTCTTTCTGATTATCAAGGGCCAGCTCAGGAAAATGGATAGAAAATGGATCTTAAGGTCATGGATTTAGTATTTAATTTTAAAGTTGTTTCCTCTCTAGAGAGCACTTAGGGCTTCTTACTCCCACCATCCCTTCCCCTCAGCTGCCAGAGCCCCTTCTGAAAGCAAAGTTCTCTGTTGAGTTTTAAGGGTTCTCAAGTTCTTTGGACCAAGATTTGTGGCAGCCCTGACTTGCACTTCGCTCATTCAGGAACATTCTATTACTTTGATTTACCAGCTACTCAAAAGGCATTGGGGCAATCTTCATAATAAAAGTCCCTGTTACCATAGAGATTATATACCAGGGGGAGAGACACACAATAAACAGAGAAAAAAAACCAGTCGGTCTCTGGTGTACAAATGAGATCTATGCTCAAATAAAATTTAAATAAAATCTATAGGTAAATTAGAATATATATATGTTTTTATTTTATGTCAGTCATATTTGTCTTAGTCTATATTTTATGTTTCTGTGCATATTAAATACTCCTGAATGTACTAAAACATCTTAAACATAGTAATGCAATACAAAGTTGTATTACAGCACTAGAAACCCATGTGTGTGTGTTTGTAAGTCTATCAATTGAATGGCTCAATTCATAATCAACTCATAGTTCACTCTTCCACGTGTTTCAGAAGTCAATTTCTTAAGAGTAGGCACTAAGGCCTGTATTGGGATTGAACTCATGACCTTGGTAGTATTAGCAGCAAGTTCTATTCAACTGAAGTAACTAGCTGTCTGTAAGGAAGTGAACTGGAAATTCAAACTGAGGTTAGAAGAGGCTGAGACACCAGGGTTATCATTGCTGACAACAGATAGATCCTGGCTGAAAGCAAAGAACACTAATGCTTTATTGATTATTAAAAGGCATTTGACCGTGTGACTGATAAATTATGGCTAACATTGAGAGGAATAGTGATCACAGAAAATTTAATTGTGCTCCTGTAAACCTTCTACTATGACCAAGAAGCTGTTGTGCAAATAGAGAAAGAGAACACTGTTGTTGTTGTTAAGTACCATCAAGTTGAGCATGACTTATAGCGACCTATGAACAAAAGACCTGAACTCTGTACTATAACTATCATCGTTTCTCTATGTTCATTGAGTTTCCAAAGGCATGTTGAGGAAGTGAATGCCACACTTGCTTCTAAACTTGAATCAATCTGCGAGCTCCACCAAACACCATCCACAATGGTTAACCATTATGGCATTTGACACACTAGCGGCAAAGGGTTCAGCATCACAGAAACTTCAAGTTACTTCAGTATAGCAAATTGACAGACCAATGCTGTGCCACGTAAAAGAATGTCCATCCCAAACACATTTAACACAAGCCAGAGGGCCCAACCCCTTTTTAAATACAAGACCTGCCCAGTAGGTCCAGGTTGACTCTAAACCAAGAGGCCCAATAAGTCCATAGCTCATTGTTAGCTAAATCCAGCAAATCTAATCAGCTCACACCTGACTGTGAACAACAACAACATAAAAAACACAACAGTTTACACCCAACCCTCACCAAGGCAATAGAAACCATCTTTCTGAATCAAACCACTTCACACATGAGACTCCAAACTAGAAACTTAGTATTCAAGAAAACACTTGTTGTTGTTGTTATGCGCCATCCAGTCACCTGCGACTGATAGCAACCCTATATACAACAGGCATAAACCTTGCTCTATTCCCTTGCCAGTCTTACTGTCTCTGACACACCGACCACATGACCCCAGTGACTGAATCAATTCATCTCATTGAGGGTCTCCCG